CGATGGTAGTTAGGTGTGGCTGTGGTGGGTGTTTGTCCGTAGCGAATTCGCTCATTCATGCTTACGGGTCCTTTGGAGTTGTTCACGAAGCACGCAAGTTGTTTGATAGAATGGTTGTTCGAGATGTTGCTTCTTGGTCTGCCATGATCCAGGCATGTTCTTCCATGGGAAGCTATGCTGACTCGATGGCATTGTTCTCGAGAATGCAGCTTGGGGACAGCCTCAAACCGAATGAGCTTACTGTTGTTGCGCTGTTGCCTGCGTGTGGTTTCTTTTCTTCCTTGAGAAAAGGGCAAGCTGTTCATGCTTATGTCATTAGGAATGGATATGAATCTAATCTGATCGTTGGCTCTGCTCTGGTAACGATGTACTCCCGGTGTGGGGATCCTGATGTTGCTTATACGATCTTTACTAGCTTTTACCAAAAGAATCTTGTTTTATGGACTTCAATGATCGAAGGTTTTGCATTAAATGGAAAGTATGATATTGCTCTGAATTTGTTCAAGAAAATGCAAGACCAAGGGTTTCACCCAAATTATGTAACTTTAGTTGTGATCCTGTCTGCATGCAGCCATGCTGGCTTCGTTGATGAAGGTTTGCAAATATTTGAGACCATGCAGGAGAAGTTTGGTGTGAAGGCTGGGGTTGAACATTATGCATGTGTGGTGGATATGTTGGGGAGGGGAGGAAGACTAGACGATGCTGAAAAGTTCATAGAGAATATGGGCACGAGACCAAGTGGGAGTATGCTTGGATCATTGCTTGGAGCATGTCAGGTTCATCGTAATGTGGAGATTGGTGAGAGAATGGCCTACAGGCTTTTTGAACTTGAGCCTCATAATGCTGCTAACTATGTAATCCTTTCCAATGTATATGCTGCGGTTGGACAATGGCACAATGTTGGAAGAGTGAGACAAATGATGATCGCCAAAGGGTTATTGAAAGATTCTGGATGTAGTTGGATTGAGCTTAAAGACACAGTTTATGTGTTTGGGGCGCATGATAGATCACATTGGGAGTCTGACAAGATCTACAAAGTGCTGGAGGTATTAAGTGAGGAGATAGGCAGGGCAGGATACATGCCAGCCACAGAACATGTGTTGCTTGATGTGGAAGAGAATGAAAAGAAGAAGTTGCTCTGTAGCCATAGCGAGAGACTTGCAATTGCTTTTGGGTTGCTGAAAGTGCCTCCGGAAATGCCAATAAGGATTGCCAAGAACCTTCGAGTATGTGACGATTGCCATGAAGCAATCAAGCTTATTTCGAGGGTCACTTCAAGGAAATTTGTTGTCAGGGACACAAATCGTTTTCATCACTTTTATAGGGGATCTTGTTCTTGTGGAGATTACTGGTGACACAATGACAAGGGAAAGATCAAGAATTACAATAGGTGCTTTTGTTCTCTTCAATAATCAGTTATAAGACTCTGGTGAGGTCTACATGTATTATAGAGAAGACCACGGAGCAGCGATAGCAGTTTAATCTTTGTCTAACTGCAAGCAACTGGGAGCATGAGTTCGAGATGATGATAAATTTGAACTGTTCAGCATAAGTCTTTCTGTGACGCGATGATTTGGTGAGTTGATCTTGAGTTTTGACATCCACCCCAAGTGTGGTAATAACCACAACTAGCCTTTATTGCACTTCAACATCAACAGATAACAAGATACATTCTACTGTCCTTGTTATCTGACACTGTGGCTGTATCAATCCATCTGATCACATCTGTTCATGCAAAAAAGAGCAGTTAAGGATTTCATGAGCATCTGATTTCCTCTTGTTCAACTTTTTCTCAGAATACTGACTGAGGGCGAAGTCCAACAGCTAATGTATTTGATTAATATTGCAAAAATAGTTGAAAGTTTGACTATAATATGAATAATCATTTTTCATACTCGTACAATTTTGATATGCCTGTAAATAACCCTATGCCTTCACAGAACCTGAATCAGTTTCTATGTTTTTATGTAGCAGGTGGGCCGAACGATACTTGTTCATCGTTGGATGCTGTCTAGATTGCCATCATTTAAATCAGCACTAAATTCTTTCGCCAGTAGTATCAGCTCCAGTATAAATTTTTCTAGAGGTGGAATGGGAGCTTTAAAGATCAAACATGGTTTAGAAGTGAAAATGGAGAAAAGTATGCTTCTATTTCCCTCTTTTGTTCTTAGTTTTGCATTTCAAGAGCTGAGCAGCTGCATCACCTCTGAAACTGCTGCCACAAATATTAATTTTTGTGACATAGAATTGCATTTACCATTATTTTAGACAGGGAAAAGATTATACCAAAACAAGTTACATGCATCCATTGATTTTACATTGGAGCACAACCTGAGCAGAATAAACAAAACTTAGTCTCAGATGACAGTCAAACTTGCCACAGATTGTGGCAGGCAATCAGCAAGGCAAACCTACCTGCCATGAAAACAACAGATGAACATGACAAACACAACAAATATTATTAATAAGACTGTATGTTGAAAAATGTGGTATCCATGCTTCATCATCAAGCATTCAAATTCAAATTCTACCATACCAAGTAGCCATTATTTTAGCCTCATCTCCACTGTTCCTTTTGTTGTGAATGCAGGCCTCCTTGCAACATTAGATTTGGGTCAGAATCCAAAGACTCCGCCAGCACATAGGCACCATGTCCAGTACGTGCCCTCCACTTGCAACATTAGATTTGGCGTATTTATGGTTTTTATATATTATGATTATATTCAATATTTTTAATTAAGTATGTAGCTCAATTGAGGGTCCCACCTGTCCAGATTATGCCAAATCTGGAAATGTTAGGAAGCTTAAAATAGCCAACTTCAATAACATTATCACTTGACCTTTTATCCTTGTCTATATGTGACTAATGTTTACTTTATCTGTATTACATCTTATATATATTTATATTTATGAATTAAAATAGCCGAAGGTGGATTTCTTTGCTATCTCGACTGCTATCTAAATCTCCAAAAGACATGCCGCATATGCAGCAGTGAGTTGCTGCAGCAAGTCATGTCATGTCGGTGGCCGTTAGACCTTTGGCAAGAAGTAGTGAGAGAGTGAGAGAGAGAGAGAGAGAGAGAAGAAATCAGTAGATCACCAGCCTTGCCATGACCACCTCAGTCGAGCATCAGTATAAAGAGATGACTGTTGATACAGCTTCTGCACCACCCAAGATGGCTGGGAATCCTATTGCAGGCTTCTTATTTCAAGTAGCAATGTTGAGCTCCCTTCTATGCTCAAGCAATGGCCATGGCCTCAAGATGGGTTTCTACAAGCAGTCCTGCCCTCAAGCCGAGACGATCGTTCGCACAACAGTGGACAGCTTCTTCTCCCACGACCCGACTGTGTCCGCTCCACTCCTCAGGCTGCACTTCCATGATTGTTTCGTGAGGGTAACACTCTAGTCACTGCCATCCTCCCTCTGTTATCATCGTTCGTACACAGATGAACAGATCGATCCATGTGAAACAGGGATGCGATGGATCGGTGCTGCTGAACTCCACCAGGAAGAACTTGGCGGAGAAGGACGCGAAGCCAAACCTAACACTCGATGGCTTCTACGTGATCGATGCGGCCAAAGCAGCATTAGAGGAATCATGCCCTGCCACGGTCTCCTGTGCAGATATCCTCGCCCTCGCAGCCAGAGATGCAGTGTCCTTGGTAGCTTCTTCGCCTTCCTGCCTTGCGATCGAATGCCAAGCACACTGAATCGCTGTTGCGCTCAGGCTGCAGGTCTCGGGAAGGGGATCGCCATGACGAATCAAAGCCTTTATCAGGTCGAGACCGGACGAAGAGACGGGTTTGTATCGAGAGCCTCCGAGGCAGAAGCTCATCTGCCATCTTCTTATGCCAATATCTCTGCGCTCAAGGCAAATTTTGGTTCCAAGAGACTCACCGCCCGAGACCTGGCAGTCTTATCAGGCATCGTATTGCAATCTGATCCATTACACGTAAGAACAAGAACTGAGATCTTGGTTTTGATCGTTGAACAGCTTAATCTCTTCGTGCAGGAGCTCATGCCATAGGGAACTCGCATTGCTTCTCGTTCGACAAGAGGCTGAAGCGCTACCATGGAAAAGGAGGGATCGACCCGACCTTGGATCCACACTATGCCATCAAGCTGATAAGCAAATGCAGGCCGGGCAACGGCACGACCACCGAGATGGTGCCTGGAAGCTCGACGACGTTCGACACCAAGTACTACGAGCTGGTGGCCAAGAGAAGGGGGCTGTTCCACTCCGACGCTGCTCTGCTCCATGACAAGGTGACCAGAGACTACGTCTTCTCCAGGCTCAAGTCACCTGAGTCCAGTTTCTTTGCTGATTTCGGATCAGCCATGGTGAAGATGGGGAAGGTTGGAGTGCTCACAGGCAAAGCAGGGGAGATCAGGAAGAACTGTGCTCTGGTCAACCGCTAGTAGGAGCTTTGAAATTGTTGCGGTTGTGTTGCGTCTTTCTTGCATTCAGGATTTTGTTGCTCTGTGGAGGTTAATATATGCTATTTGGTGTCAAAGTTCAGATTGAAGGAAGTAACATTTGATAGATAGGTGACAAGAAATTTAATAGTTTCTTGATCTCATAGACATTATTGCTCAGTACAGCTAAACAAATGATTCTCTCTCTCTCTCTCTCTCTCTTCAATCCACCTTCTATTCTCTTCTCTTCTCAAGGGCGCGAGTGCAAAGGGGATACTCCACGACGATGCCACGAGGACAAAGGTGACGATGAGAATGATGATGATGAGATGATGAGGCCTTTACGGACAAGGCAAAGTGATAAGGCGAAGGATGATGGTAAGGCCTTTTTGAGTGGTGTGAGAGCAATAGGATCTCGTGATGAGGTGAAGATTACGAGTGACGACAAGGAGCGAAGACCGTCGAGAAAGAATGAAGACCAAGGATGAGTTTATTTTTAAAAAAATAAAAGATATTATACGAAATAAAAAAAGTACATGAAAAAGTAAAAACTTGAGGGTTTTTTTTGGTGCCATGTCAGAAATTCTTGCAACTCAAGTAAAAAGACTTGGATGCAGCTCTTTATTTGCAACATTGCAGGAAGTACAAGATGCTGATGAATGAAGATATTAGTCAGTCCGTGGATCGGAGACTGAAACATCTGTAATTGGTATACTGTACTCTTTCATCTTAAGCTTCTGTTCATGTCTTACCATTTACCTTTCGACAGTTCAACCTAATCTCTCCTTCTCCGCCTGTCAACACTCCCACGGATCCGAGTTTGATCATCGACTTGGAGAACTGATGAATGAATCGCTTTGGGTTGCTCACGAACCGCGCGGCCAACCTGCTGGTGACGTCGGTGAAAGCCAAGTCTTGGTCTAACTGCAGCACTGCCTTCCCGTTGAGCAAGCCGTGGTAGAAGGAGGTGTCGAGGACGAAGGGCGGCGATGTGGTTGCTTGGTTCAAGAAGATCTTTGGGTCCTTGGTGACGTTGCTGGGTAGCACGACTTCGGGCGGGCATTGCTGCTTGAGGGTGGCGAGCATGGCGGGATCGATTCTGGGGTCAGATAAGCCCGTGGCCTGGAAGTTGTAGAGTCGGTCGATCACGAACCCGCAGTGGCAGAATCCAACACCATGAGCACCTGAATTCAGAACATGAATGTAATACTCTTAGAGAATATATCTGGACGGTGATTTGGATTCAATGAAATTAAAAGACCCATGTTTTCGGATCGCTGCATCGTGATAATTAGTATAAGAACTGATCTAATAACGCAGTGAGATCCACCAAATCTAAGAATCGTGAGAGGTGAGGTTAAACTGACCTAATAACGTAGTGAGATCCACCAAATCTAGACTGATGTTTCGGAAAGCAGCTTCGGCGGCTTGGATGGAGAAGTAGGGACTCGGCAAACGGACGTCGGAAGCCTTAGAGACAGCGCCATCCCTCCTCCCGGTGGGAAGAGCGTAGGCTGCTCCGCCCGACAACGCCACACCATCTCTAGCAGCGAGCGCCAGCACGTCAGCGCACGACACCACTCGGCTGCACACCTTCTCCAGTTCGGCCTTGGCGTCGTCGATCACGTCGAAGGTCCTCAGTGTCAGGTTGGGAGCCGCTGTCTTCTCGGCCACGTTGTCGGCGGTGCTGTCGAGGAGAACAGAGGCATCGCATCCCTGCGAGAGCAGATCGATGGGTTGGTATAGCGAGCAGTCACTCCTACTCGATCGACGAGCAACCGGAGAAACCTACAGCGACGTACTCTAACGAAGCAATCATGGAAATGGAGGCGGAGGAGGCCTGCAGGAACAGATGGGTCCTGCAGGAAGTGCTTCTGGACCACTTGCTTAACGATGATCTCTGCTCTGGGGCAAGAATTCCTGTAGTAGTGGACTTGCAGGGAGACGACGATGGTTGGAGCATGAGCTAAGAGGAGGAGAACCAAGGAGAGCGCTGCCATGGTTCTGCTCTCTGCTGCTGTGCTGCCTGCTGTCCTCCATGGCAGCTTATAAGAGAGCACGAGAGCTTACTTCTGTGAGAGTAATCTGGAGTTCATTTGACTCCCAAGTGGATTGCTTCCTACAGCTTGTTTCTTGGGATCCTCCTGCCAGTTCAGTGAGATGAATGTGTGCACATGGACGCAGTTGCTGCTTCACTCTTTTCCTGGAGCTGACATTAATATTTGTTCTTCTTCCAGTCCATGTTCGATTTGATGAGCTACAATGTCAGGTTCTCATTAGATTGATCATCTAATTCTCTACTCAAAGCAGCAGTATGGAGAAGTTTACAGGACACAGAAATCAATCACATTACTCAAATAGTCAACGCTGTAAATGGTATTTATTGACATGAATCAAAACAAATAACAAGTATCCAATGAGAAATCTATTTCTTAGCAGCGAGAAGTTGAGTAAATGCTTTAGGGTTCAGAGCAGCTGATCCTCTAAGAAAGGCAGAGGAGACTTTTTAGTCTCCATTGTGCTCATCCTTCGCTGTCAAGTTCATGAAACCGAGCAGGGAGGGCTATGATGGCAGAAATGCACTGCACACAGATATCAAATAGCTAGCTATTGGATCGAGTTGGGGAGTGTTGGTGGTGGCTAAGTTTGATACAACCAAAGCATTATTTATTGCGCACCTTTCTTAAACTGTGGCTTTTAGTGGTTGACCGAGAAGTCTCGAGATTGCAGTAAGAAGAAAGATGTTTAGCTTAATTAAGCCTAAATTGGCTTCTTTTAGTTTTGTTTAAGTTGACCAATGGCCACTGTGTCTACATGTATTGAGTAGCACTGCTTCTAGAACCCTCCAGAATGATTTCATTGGGTGTTTTGTTTAGGGTCCACAAATAACATGGAGATAGCATTGTGTAGGGGATTAGTCTAATATCAACAAGGACTTTATTAGCTCTTAAAAGGATGATTAGCCTATACCTAAGTCAGCCCTCCATTACTACCAAGAATACCATGGACATATAAAATTGATATTTCTAGACAATTAGGGTTTGCATAACAAAATTGAATTTCAAGACGAGAAAACATACACTGATCCTTTCGAAATCTAGCGATGAAAGCCTAGTGCACCGGTAATATTAGATGTATAACACAGCTTAAGCAAGAATCAATTGTAACACAACCTCAGCAAGCTGATTCTAGATATCTCCATGCAAGGATCTATAACAAGGTAAAGAATCGATTATAATAAAATCCTAGTATCATTGCCAAAGCTTAGCAAATTACCATTTTTTCTTGCTGTTTGGAACGTATGTATCACATGATTTGTCAGCCCTCTTAAAGTGCATTTCTTTCATCTAAAACTCTAAATGATTGACCCTTCCACACATTCACCTCCTGCCCAGAAGGTAGACAGCAGTAGCAACCCCAGTCAGCGCGACGCCAACAGATGCTAAAATTTTTGTTCTTGATGGACCGACACTTTGTGTAGGAACCTCCAGCAGACGCTTTATCTGCAATGTTAAAGATCAGCGGTAATTCAAGAACGTAAGTACATGGAGAATATGTGTATAAAGCAGAAGCACAATTTAAAATACGACACTTCAACAGCTAAATAACAATATACTAAAGTGAAACACATCTGCAAACTAAGAAGAGAATACAATTTCAGCTCTCACAATTGAGACAGTTTGCCAAACAGGAATTATTCAATCTGGGACTATCCAAGGATTCCGACAACAGATTACCTGGGAACTTTGGTGATAGACCACTTCGAAATCATCTAAACGTCAGATCCACAAAGAGTAAAAAGATCGGAAAAGATACCTCTATGGGCTGTTCCCAGTTCTTCTTTATTCCAGATAAATGCCCTTTGCCAACAACTGCAACAACTGAAGAATGTTCTCTTGCAACCTTCAATAATGTCGATGACATGTACCTGCACATACAAGTCCAGGACAACAAAAGAATGACATTATATCCAAAGCATCGAACTGAAAATGGAACCTTAGCTTTAAGATGAATGCTCAAGGAACTCAACTAAAGGTCAACCACAGACGATCTACACTACTTTAGTGAAACAACAATTTTAAGGCTTCCAGTTTGACTAGTGTATTAGAGCGAATGGCTTGTTTGAAATTGACTGTGGTAGTTTAGATGTGATCAAGATAAGAAACACTAAATATTCATATTGTAACTAGGTTAAAATTTTGGGCACCAAACTAAGATAATAGAATTTTCAAGATTTGAAAATGGAGTGTGCGAAGATAGTTGAACATAGGATAGTTTCCTAAATGATAAGCAGAAATAGAAACTGAGTCCAATTTTCAGCACCAAACAATTCTGTCTACCATTGTCTGCCAATACTCCTGAATCTTTTAGTTAAAATATAAAGTGCATGAGTATTTTCAGCAAAAAAATTGGATAGCCAATGCACAAGGATTGTGCCAATGTAGGGCATAGAAAGGGTCAATATATGTAGTCTTGGACTTACAAGCAAAGATGTTTTTATTACCCGAGTCCAGTCATCTAGATTGCAAGAAATAATTGCACAATGAGACCAAGCTCACCCTCTAGCATGAATATTTTCCACTCACAATTCTATAGAAGATACAACCATGAACATATAATAAACAATAAATATATGAAATCAAAGCATAAATTAATACTAACATATCACGCTCATGAAGAAGCGTCTCCATCAGAGTAGGGAATGCCTTGCTCATCTCTTGAATGAAGAGGGTCAACATATCAACATCATCCATTTCCTTCAACTAAAAGAGAAGAATATAATTAAAATCTAAGTTACATTATGATATTATTTTAAACATAAGTTAGACAATGAATTAGTACACACTATTTAAAACACCGATATATCATAACTCAAGCATTATAATTGTTCTAAATAATCAGACACAATACCAAGTTTATGTTAATTATTAGCAATATATGTATGATGAAACAAAAACCACCAAATACAAAGGGCAAAACAAAACCAGGTAAAAGTCATTCTTCACCATTAGGGCATATCAGTAAACAATGATTTAATAATAAAAAAGGAGTTAAATATCAAGTTCATTTATATAAAAATCTTAGGTATAGGAATGAGAAAATAAATATAAATGACAAGATATAATGCTACTGCTCCAGGCATAGATAATGTGTCTGCCTAAGTCAAGTTGGAAGGGACTAAATTCACAATTATCAAATAACAGGTCAGATTTGGGCCTAAATACCAAGACTGATGCAAGACTAACTTAAACAAATGATGGATCCAATTCTTTATTTCCATTCTGTTGACTATACAATCCTGCTACAAATAATAACAACAAGAATTTCATAACTATTCTCCACCAGTGAAGGCAACAAATGTTAATTTGTAACCAAAAAAGAAATTTAATTCTACAACCAACTGTCAAAATGGAAAAAAATATATCTTGATTTGTCTAAAAAAAAAATATGGTACTACCTGATCTGAAGTACATGGTCAGGTCAGAGGAACAATTATCTATAGAACAAATGTAAGCTTGTAAGCATGTCTAGCAAAGGCTATTACATAACAGCCTTTCTTAGGATCAAAATATTTCTGGGGCTTAACAATTTCTTAGGCATTGATTGATCCCTATGGAATGTGCAAGGCACAATCACTATCCAGATACAGTACTCATTTTAGTTCACCAAACATAGGTAACAGCAACTGTATTTCTCTTTCTTTTTAAGTGTCTATTATAATTTACAACAGCATATTATAAGTATGAAAATAAACAAAAGAGAAGCTGAAAACAAGGATGATGGAACCCTTGTTCATGTTACAAGAATTACTACAACATATGTGCAAAGCAGTTGTAGCATGTAAGTCTATGACCAAAAGAAGGCCAAAAGAAAGTACCTACAGAAAACAGGACAGCTTACCATCTTATTCAGATCATCAGAACTAGGTAAAAAGATTGTTTGGAAGAGTATATAGTACAAGAATTTTGCTCTATGCCACAGTGTCATCTTCCCCCATGTTCTTCGTAAAGTAATCTGCAAAAATCAAGAATACATCAGCAAAATGCACAAAGAAAATGCTGGTTAGCTAAATAGGTTCTGGGAATTATTCATCTAAAATGGACAAATCCTTAAACCCAAAGATAGCAATAGATTACTTACACATAGGACTGCTATCAGAATGAAATGCAACCATAGCAAAGAGTACACGCAACAAACTTTACAACAACAAGCTAATTGTCCAAGAATATCAAATGAAGCAATGGACCATAGAAGGTTACAAAAAACAACAATTTCATAAGTCATGTGAAGACACAAATAAATGGGTCTCATACCTGAACAGGACGGTCACCCAGTATCACTTTGCCTCCATAACTCATTGCTTCTTCAAATGCTACTCGAAATTCAGAGCCAGGGAACACTTCAAGCTTGTGAGCAACCTAACATATGATACAAAACCCTAATAACAGCTAATAACTGATATTGCAAATAGCAATAAAAAAAAGTGTGAAAACATGCCTTGGCAAGAAACCAGCTATAGAGAATCCCAAAGGTATTCATCTTCTTTTTCTTCCACATGTCAATCATTTCACTCACAGTGGGAACCTGAGAAAACAAGTAAAAAACTAGAACAGTTTGACCAAATTGACATTTTGATATATAATATATAAATTAGCAAAATGATCTGATGGAAATTTAACGACCAAACTTATGTGAACATTGAAGAATGTCCAACTAAAAGTAAAAGTATATATTCCAACGTTTTAATCTTTCAGAAAATTTTTATCCTTATTAATAGTTACATGTTAATCCTTTTAATAAGACTAATAATAAAAGGAAATATCCTAGGTACAGTGCTAGTTTGTCAGACAAGAGGTTGCAGGTTCAAACTTGTTATTGCCTGTACTTTCCAATTTTTAGTCTTGAATCAAATTGGTCTTTGCTGGAAGCTACTTCGCCAATTTCCATTAATTGCAACCCATATTTTGTAATTGATGTATGGTTCTTCCATGCTCGAAGGATGGTAATGAAGACATCAACTATAGAAGGGAATATGGAGAACCAATACCCCCTTCTTACAATCTTGATTACGTTCTTGTAGTAGTGTTACAACACCTAACATTAGATAACTCTATTGCACCTCCATTCAACCTAGATAAAGCTAAAAAAAATTATGCCAAACAATGTCAAAGAAGATTAAAAGAAGGATTTTGGAAGTCATTAGTCCAAGAGAATTATTCATGAGAACCATTTTGGACATCTACAACTGATGAAGCGTCATGGTAAATTGAAAAAAAAAATGTGCAAAAAGAAAAGGTAAAATGAAAGGCAACACTAATTTTGAAATTAGCATTTAGGATTTTCAGATGTCTTAAGATCAAGAATTAGAAACAAAAGTGCCATGCTACACATCATAACTTACATAAAGATACAAATGATGGCTTTGTCCATTAGACCATGGCAAATAATAACTTTACCAATCTGAATTAATAGATTTTAACAAATATCGAGTTCATATGGTTCATGAACCAGCATTACCAAAGTTATTGATAGATCTTAACCATTCATGACCATTTATCCAAAACAATACTTAATTTGCCAATGCAGCTTAACAAAGAACAGCAGAAAATAACAGAAAGGCACCTTATAGAGTCCACAATCTCCAGTGCTTAGCAGAGAAGATGTGCTACTGATATATATGTGGCACATCTTATTTTGAAATGGTCTCACCAAACTTTGGGCTGCTGTCACCTCCATACTTGTCCTTATTTAAAGAAGCAAAAGTATGCAGGAGAATGCAGCATAAAGTTTGGTGACACAGTGTTCCTGAACTTATTTCTCTCAACTCTTAGGTTATGATATTGTTGATCAAGTAATTGTTAGACATGCCATTGTTTTTAAAAACATCAAATCGAGCTTGAATAGTTGGAAGAACAACCCCAATAAGATCCAGAAGTAGCATATACTCCACATTGTCTCAACTTATAACGGAAAATCCTTTGATTTTAGAAATGGCATACCAATGTGAATTTTTCGTCAAGTCCTTCAGACTTAGTTGGCATTCAGACTACTTGGAGGAAGATGGTATTCACCAAAGCTCGATCTTATTAGCGATCTCCACAATCATGGTGTTCTGCCCAAGTCATTTGAGCTTAGTTGGCATTCAGATTTCTTGGAGGAAAGATGGTAACAACCAAAAGCTGATCTTGTTTGGAAGTAATCTACTCATGCTTGCTGCTGGTGTAAGGGAGAGCAGATTGTTTGCACTGACAATTCAGAGAAATGTGGTAAGAGCGTGAAAATCCTAATAACTGAGAGAAACTGCATATATTACTCTTATTTTTTTCTCTTCTTCCTAACCCCCATGTCTCTACTACTGCTCTTACAATTTCTCATTTTTAGTCCTAGATCCTCTTTTCTTCTTGTACCTATGATCCCGATCATCCTACTTCTAGAAAAATAAAAGCACAAAATTTAGCATAAGGAGCCAACGTAATGATGAAAAGCTTTAACACCAATAGAAATTGGCTAAACTATAAATAATATGCCTTGCTATACCAGCCAATCCAAATTGGGATAAGCCTGAATCAACAGCAAGTAACAAAATCAGCCAGTCATGGTAGAAAACCATCCAGTTTCCAGGACTTCTAAGATGATTTTTAGCCAGTATCTCCAACTCATTTCACAAAAATCTGATATCCAATAATACTGAGCCAATTGATCCTGCCCAATTCCAATCTCAATCCTAATTCTATCTCCAATAGGAATTCTAGTTGCACTATTCTGAACCTTGGTGTTACCAATGTGTTGTCTATAGAAGTTTACCATTCAAACATGATACTCTTTCTGAAAAGGATATGACTTATCCTTCGATGTACAATTTTCAATGAGGAATCTACTATCTATACATGGATAAGTGATATTGGATACCTTCGGCTTAAAACTTGAGCTTTGGTTATATACAACACAATTTTATTACTGTTTTAATATTTTAATACAAGACAATTAAACAGATATTACCAACCACACTACTACGAATTTAAGCATTACACATGCTTATTAAAAATCCACTAAAAAATGAAATGCATTTAACTTGTGCCGGCGGTTATGTCTCCTTAGTTACATAGGTTCTAGTAACTCCAACAATACCCATGCAATGTCTTCCAAAAGTTTGTACTAGTGAATGTAATTACTAAAAATTAATTATGATGTGCAAAATTGAAGTTGATTGATATATATCAACCTGAAGATTCTGAGGAGTCAAAATGGCAACCCTGCTTGAGCACAGCTCCAGAAAAACAACCTACATTGAATACCAAAGAGACATATACATGAGTTCAACAGCAATAAATTTTCAGCACACCACCAATCTATCAACAATGCCACTTTTCTAACGCAGGCTGCTAACCTGCTATATGACCAATTGATCAATCAAGTGATTGTTGAGATTCAAGAGGAAGCACCTGAGGTTTCAAGTAACTGATGATGGCCTGAACTTCTTTGCAAGACTCCTACAAAGACATATATAAGATTAGATATGAGCTTCTAACAGCACATAAATCAATGCCTTGAAAAGTCAAGTAATGCTCAATATAGAACAGAAACATGGGGAGAAACGGAATGAATGGTACAAACTTGGAAGCAAGCACATAAACTCAAAATTTCTTTCTTTAATCAGGTAAACAAAGAAGTCAGATTATCGCTAACCTTCTTAATACCTACTAAATTTATATGAAAATCAATATAACAGTCAGCACATACGAGCTAATAAAAACTCAAAATTGAAAGCTCTAATTTATTTATGACTAAGATCCTGAAAACAACACAAAGGGGAGACATTAATCAGAATTATCTCGAAAAATGTCATTTTGTTTCCACAAAGAAATGCGATTTATAGAGTAATTACTAGATCAGATCACCTGAGATACATGGGCCGTCCCGACAAGGTACACATCACAGGATCCCCCCTCAGCCGACGACTCGCACTGCAAGAACAGCACGCCCTTCGCCAGATCCTCCGGCAAAACCTTCTTCCCCTCCGCTGCCCCTTCTTCCGCAGACCCCTCGCCGCCTCCTGATCCTCCACCACTCGAAGCCTCGGAAAGGATGCCAGAATCGAGTACGGTTTGCGCCGCAAGGTTAGGGTTAGGAGCCGGCTCGTCGGCGGCGGGTTCCGAAACGTGGACGTAGTCTTCTGCGGAAGAGGTCTCGGACACAACCGAGGAATCATCGGCGGGCTCCATCGGAGGCGGCAGAGAGCGGCGCCGGGCACGGGAAGGGGAGGAGAAAGTGGAAAGAAGCTTCGCAGAGGGGAGATGGGAAGGGTTATGGAAACCTATATATACACGGACGGCTGGGAAGAGGCGAGGGAGGGAGGAGAAGCACCGGACGGAGACTCGGCGGCACCGTTGGATCGGTGGGGGAAAAGGGCGCGACTGGGCCGAGTTGAGGACGCGAGTCCGCGGCCAGCGTATCATTACCCGATGATACGCTGACGCCTATCCCAAACCTTTTACGTCTTTAGAGCAAAAGCCGGTCCGGACCGGACGAGACGAATTACCTCCCGACCGGTTTCGAACTATGGAGAATTAGGTTCAGCCGGCTCCTGACCCACCATCTTTAGAGCAAGAGGCGGTCCGGTCCGGTCCGACCGGTTTGAACTGTGATTCCATGCTTTATATGAACTCTACCTCGTCATTGTCTTCGCCCTCAAGAGATTCTACTGAAGTCACCGGATTGTAGGGATGCCATTGCGTGATCCATCAAAGATTACAATACATATTTTTCAATATTAGGATCCATACTTAACATTTCTACTTGGTTTTGGGTCAAGTATCGGATTGATTTGAGATTCCAGTTAATAGTCTCATTTCCAAATCTTTAAACCCATTGGCAATTATCTTGATTTTTTTCCATATAAGAGAAGCTACTTAGTGTTTGGAGGTGACGAGAGAAAAGAAGGAAGATCCAATCTTACCTCTTGTTCACTTTGATGCATTAAATGAAAAAAAATATAAAAAATTTGAGGAAGATAAAGATTTTAATTGTAATAACCCATCTCTTTTATGTCAAAATATTTATGATTCGAGAAAATATTATCACTTACATGATTGACTTATAGGACATCCATGACTTACATTTTTGTCTCAATACAGCTTTTTAGGTCATCTTCCTTGAAGAGTTTGACATATTACACCAACAGATCGGTTGTGATCTTTATTTGAATGCTAGATTAGTGATAGAAGCACGAAACTACTAGAGTGGCGATACGGCCTAAAGAACATAAAACAAAACAACCATGTAATACTATTTGTATAATACAAATGAATGACAACAGTTCTTTAAACCTTACCCAGCTGAAAATAGTCTTGATAGCTAATGGTTACATACTAAAATGTAAGGTTCGCCAGCAAAATCAGAAACTCCATGTCACTTTGATGTTTCAAAAAGTCTATAATGCTCACAAACATAGTGGTATCATCTGGTGGACTTCCAAGATTGCACCTGTCACCCAAAAAGCACATATATGGGAAATCATTATCAACAATACAACTAATGAAGTTCGTTTCATATGAATGTGAAACTACAAGCTCAATTCCAGACAATACCCTACAGATATTTCCTGATAATGTTGACATAATTTCATCTCCAAAAACACACAACAGCCTGCCTTATAAAATACTTAACAACTAAAATATGTTCAATCAAATAGAACCACAATGGCGCAGGAATTGCTCTACCTAAATTGAAGCTACTATCTGTTTCTTCTCTAGAAAACCAGCAAGCAAACAATACCACAATCTAGACATCATTACAAACCAAATAAATTTCAATGTGATTCCGAAATTTACCAAACCAACATAATTCAATATGTTAACTCAATTATTTATCAAATGTCACCAAATCAACAAACTTTGGCAACATATATGGGAAATCACCAAAGAGAATTATCAACAATACAACTAATGAAGTTCAATTTATATGCATGTGAAACTATAAGCTCAATTCCAGACAATACCCTACAGAAATTTCCTGATAATGTTGACATAATTTCATCTCCAAAAACACACAACAGCCTGCCTTATAAAATACTTAACAACTAAAATATGTTCAATCAAATAGAACCGCAGTGGTGCAGGAATTGCCCTACCTAAACCGATAGTTCCCGTAAGACAAGCTACTATCTGTTTCTTCTCTAGAAAACCAGCAAGCAAACAATACCACAATCTAGATATCATTACAAATCAAACAAATTTCAATGTGATTCCGAAATTTACCAAACCAACATAATTCAATATGTTAACTCAATTGTTTATCAAATGTCACCAAATCAACAAACTTTGGCAACATTTGTCATGGTATCTTATTAATCGAATGGCTTCTTCATTGAAAAGAAACAATGAGAAAGGGAAGGGGGTCTCCTTGCAGAATTGAGCTATGTCAGACCGTTGTGGAGCCACGTCCACGAGACTCGGGCATCGAACCTCTTAAGGAGGAGACGATGATTCATTTACTAACCAAGACACTGTTTCTAATTACCATTTGTAGGCTGGATTTTGGCACTTATCAGTTCTTATGAGGTAAGGAGATTAGCCTAATAAGAATAGAGTTGTTTTTAGATTGGATGCATAAAGTAGACATCAAATTCACTGAAAAAACAACAATCATTAAAGAAGGAAATGTATACCCATAATAAAGATTTTAAGAGCAGAAAACCACAAGTCCACAATGTCCAAAGGCTCATGAGAATCAAGACATCAAATTTGATAAAGCAAAGAGCTGTAGCAACGAAAAATCCAAGCTTTTCTACGCTACATAAAACGATACATTAATGAGGAGGTTGTTTCCCGGAAATACCAATCAGCTAGAAGACTATGCGGAACTGCGGGGCATCGGACCCGGCGGCCGTGATGATCTCCCACCGGCACGGCTCGAGCTCGTCCGAGACGGGGCAGCATCCGGCGAGCGTCATCCTATCGCCCGAAGCCGCCACCGAGCCGAACTCGAAAACCGTGACGTCCGCAGGCCTCCGTACCTCCACCGCCCCATGCATCCCGGGGACCTCCTGGACCACCGCCCCGGGCTTCTTCTCGGAGTCGCCCTTCGCTGCCGACGGACGAGGGGGCTGCGCTCCCTTGCCCTTCCACCAGGACAGCAGCCCCATAATACCTCTCGTGCGAGGAATTCGATGTGATTAGGGTTTTATCGGAATCGTCGAATTGCTTGGGTCGGAGGAAGCGACCGATACTTATGTCGTAAAGGGAAACGCGCGCTCGGTATGGGAACCGTCCTCGTACCCCCTATACGGGAAACGAGCCTCTAAGAAGTGGGTTGAACGAGCCGTGCTTTTTCCAACCGCAAGTCATGCATAAAAAGCTTATGAAAATAGTCAAATACATCATCCACTTTGCTCAATAATTAGCTAAATTACTGCCATAAGAATCAATATGCTTAACTTTTAAGGCAGACATTCTTCTGTTAGATTGGTCAAGCAACTTAATACATGGAGAATAGAAAGATGAAACATGTCGTGCAAGTCTGTATGAACCCTCATACAGCTAAAACGCATGATGGCATAACCTGCCAATGTGGTGGTGTAAAATGTTCATATATGCAATCAGTTGCATAATAACAGCAATGTACAAATTGGAAGAACATGGTTGATCCTGGCACAAAAAACATTACAACGTTCCTTTCTCGTGAGTTAGGGGACTCTGTTCCTGACAGGACCTACATAAAGCATTCATCAGAATAACTGAAAGCTCCTATTTGTTCAACAAATAGAAAGAGCAAACAATATTGATTAATTGATTCTCTAGAAATTCTCATGCTCATCTTGCCTTGCATCTTCAGTAGTTCCTTCCCAAATTTCTGGAGCATGTGGTGTCTGACCACCCTAGGCTCCACCACCTTCCATCTGCCTCTGCTTCGCCATAGCTTTGCGAGCTTCTCTTTGAAACTCTTTCTTGGCAGCTGCTATCTCTTCAAACCCCTTTTCAATCTTGGCCTCCTCTTCAGGAGAGAAGAAACCCACTTCCATTTTTCCAAGCTGTTCGTACATTTTCTCAATCCTGGCTTTCCAGACCAAGCCTAACTCTGTCCCCATTTTATGGTAGGGTGTCTTAAGAAGATACTCGTCGATCCCACCAGCTTTGTCAATGCATCGGAGAGCATGAGTGGTGACTTTCACTCGAATGTGTCGATCATGGATGTAGCTGAAAAGCCGCTTCTCCTGCACATTTGGCTTCCATGTCCTTCTAGACCTGTACCACAACATTTTTACATCAGATCTAAGCTCCTATGACTTAGGAACACATTCTGTACAGATGACATAATTCTAATTCTTATATCAGTGACATGAAGTAATGGTCCATCATATTAATGTTTATTGGAACCCTATCCAACTCAAAGATAACAACAATACAAATTGCAAATGACCTGAGACAATCAAGTCAAGAAAGAAATGAAGCATCTTTCACCTTCATCTTCTGGAAATGTGGCTCACTAGGGGGTTTATGTTCTTTGCCTGATTAAAGATTTCCCATTTATCTTCTGTTCATTTTGCTGTTGAAACATGGTTAGCGGAAATCAAAGTGTTGTCCAAACAAAAGAGTCCCTGTTGATTTGTATTAAGCTTTGTCATCACTCAGCGTATGCATGTGTTGTTGTCATTTATGCTTCATGTCACATGTGGACTCCACTTTCAAGGGATGCTGAAGCTAAATTAAGACTGAGAAGTACACCAGGGTTAAGTAAACTGAAAAAAAAAACAGGGAGAGATTGGATCATGCCAAGAATGACCAGTACACACTCTCCCAGCAAAGTTTTAAGCTATTCTCATTTTAAATTTCATAGCCATTAAAAGCCATTCAAGATTATCTCTCAAAATAAAGGAAGACAATGGTAAAGCCAGTTAGGACACTTGAACAACAGCAGCTCTTTCATAGATTTTCTTTATATCTCAAAACTGGAGCTCGTGCTTGGATAGCTGTCCTACCAGACAAGATAGATAAATCTACTATAATTCAGTCATTTTCGATTTATTTTTTGCTAAGCATTCCACGACCTACCATATTCCATTTAGGTAAAGAAGCACTAAGAAAAGCATTAAATACACTAGACCGGAACTGATCCATCCTTCTAAATTTCCATAGAAAGATGTATGAGGTTATACTTCAGCTTCATATTTCCATAGTTAAATCAGAAAGAAAATTTACAGAGTTGAAACTCATGCTAAGAAAACGGTGGTGTAAACATCATTGCATATTTGACATAATTAAATTTAAAATGGAACAAGAATAATCCAATTAACTACTAAAGATGCTTTGATTGCTCATCCTTTTTTCTAATGATCATTGAAAGATAGTAACATTTCATCAGAGAACAAAACTACAAATAGATGCATAAAGCAGAAATGGACAGAATGGAAAACGACAGTCCAAGATCCCACCAAGTAGAATACAACATTCAGAACAATCCCAACCAAAGACCACCCTTTCATAGGCAACAATTTGGTAGTAAGCCTAATTACGACTCATGATGACTGTGATCACCAATATAAACACTTCTAGACCAATAAATCCTAGACAGTGATTACAAAAAAAAAAAGGGCTATCACTCCCAGATTTCAAGCAAATGTGTTAACTCTATCATTGGAATTTCCAACTTTCATAACCACATAAGATAATATATTATAGTTTCTTATATGTTTAAAGAATTCAGGTAAATGTAAATCTGAAACTCAAGATTAAAACACAAAAATGAAAATAACAATAACCCAAGTATCCTAGCTGTTTTGAGTAAGTTACTTCCATTTCCACCATTGATTTGTTATGGAAAAATACCTATTAATATAAAGCAAGGTCTTGTATTATCTGCACAGAAGTGGGGATCAGATAGGAGCAATACAATTGAGAAAATGGGATTGGTTAGATTGGGTGTGGAAATTGAGATCACCAAGAAAAATGATTTTAAAAACTAAACAAATATAAACAAAATCATTACAAAAACGAACGAATTTAAGGAAAAAAATGCTAATTCTTTTACTTTCATATACCATAAGGTGAAAACAATATACAGGATAGTAACAAAAAATAATGGACTCATATCATAGAAAGATATTGTTAGAGTAAATATACATGATGAGTAATGGACCCCATTGTGGCTATTTCATGACCTTCTTTTATCCATCTCTATTATCTTAAAAGGCCAAAAGCTACTCTGTCCTCGCCTTCCATCTCCCCTTGTTTATCTAAAACAATAGTTGACAAGCAACTCTGCAGCAGCAACTGCAGTGAATGTGATAGTGGCTGCTGGATGGTCGATGTGACAGAAAAACAATCTCTCATACAATTCACATATAAAGTCAGGTGTCACCTTTTCTCTATGTTTTTTTTCCTTTCCCTTCCCATGTCTGTCACCTCCTCCTCTCCTTTTTTTCTTATTTTGTGGTTGACAAATACGCTAGAACAGCCAAAACCAACTGGGTCTGATAAAATTTGATTGATTCTGGCTATTACTAACCAAATTTATAATAAGGCTGAAGCAAAATCAGATTGGCCACACAATTTAGTTATAAAGTTTTGTATTCTATCTTAAGGACAATCAACTGTTATGCTTAAACATTTCTCTCTACTTTAAAGCTATGAGCAATTGTCACATATTTTAAAATCTCAAGTGGCCAGATTTTGATTTGAATGACCAAGCAATAATGGGGGGAGTAATTACAGAGAAAAACATCTTCTAGGAAATATACCATGATCATCTGTCCAATGAAATTATATTTGAGGATCCCATTATCTTTAAATAAGAAGAAAATCTCATCTTCCAAACTGACCGGTAATAGAGCAATGAACAAGATATATGATCGACAATTATTAAAGAGAGAAAGAAAAAAAGATGTATACTTACCTAGTATTTCTCCATAATTTTTTATGGTCAACACAGTTTATAATAATGCTGGATGTAGAAAGTAACTACCTCGGCTTATTCATACCAATTGAGTTCAGAACTCTTGTCAAGAAACAATGACACGAAACAAAAGAATGTGGAACAGAAATCACATAATTTACATAACAAGCACTTCGGCCCGGACCTTATCTTGACCCAATTTTAACATAAAAAATGAGTTCATCCATGTGCTCAAGAACGTATTTCACATCTTAAGCCATTGTCAGTCAGGGAAAAGTGCAACAAAAGGCAAGAGATAACACCCTATGCACCCTATACAATTCGCGTTGGTTTCTGAGCATAATTACAAGAAGAAACTAATAAGATGTTAGAACAAAGTACAAAATTTCGAGTAGAGGTGAACTATTTGTTGAATCCCATTTCTAGTCGTATAAAATTATAACCTTTTCGAGAGAAAGGGGGAAAATGTTCTTCTCAGGTTCAGGTGAAGTTTAAGGACAACGTAGGGAATACAATGTTGTCTTTGTTTTCTTAGTGAAGAATACAGATCGTTCCATATCCCTGCCTCCGTAGTCCGATTCCACGTTAAAAGAACAAAATTTCAACAGAGTTCCAACCAAATAGAGCAAAATGAAGAATCAAGAACATCGAAATATCAAAGAACCAGGAGAATAAAGGAGGCCGGATAGAGAAGGTTTACTTACTTGTTGCCGCCGTCCTCGCTGACCTTGTTCCCGAACTGGATGTGGCGGCCGGCGAAGATCCCGCGCTTGGCCCGCCCCATCACGAGCTTGTTGTTGGGGACGAGCTTCTTCACCGAATCCATCACGTCCGGAGGCACCGAGCCCCCTACCTTGCGCGCTATTTTGTTGTATATCTCCCTCGATCTGAAGGCCATCGCCGGTGTGAATCGCGGCGCTTGGACAGGCCGAAGAGGGATGCCGAGAAGAATATAGGGATTGCTTTGCCACCCTTGCGCTCGAGTTGTATCTTTGCGGGTTCAGGGTCGGATCTGGGTCCGCACCCCGCTAGTTCTTTAAGATTTGTGCCTGGTGTTTAGATCAACTCTACAACCATTGGATTGAATTAGCATGAATGGTTGTAAAACAATCATTTGTGTGGGGACTTATCTCTCTCTACAAATTTAGAGAGATAAGTACATGATCAACTAAAATATAAGATTAAATTATTTTATTTAAATTATTATGCTAATTATATATTATTATATATAATTAGCTATATTTAGTTCCTATATTTTCAAAAATTACATTCTTATATTTATAAAAGTAAAATATTTAATATTAATTCTCCTCACGTCGTTGATTTTGCTAACAGAAATATCGTAGATAAATCAAAATAAGGTAAAGTCAGTACATATACAGTGATAAACTCAATATTATTTTTGTTAGCAAAATCAATTATATAAGAAGAATCGAGATTAAATATTTTACTTTTATACATAGGAGATTTTAATATAATTTTTAAAAATATAGGGATCGAAATAGATAACTAATTACAAGAAAAATGTAATTAGTCCTAAATTATTCTATCCATTCATATAATTAATTATAGATTAACCATAAATTTATTTTCTATAATGTACTTTGCTTGATAAACCTTCATTATAGGACAACTGTAACATAATCAACTATTTAGGTTGCTTAAACAAAACTTAAAATACAAGTCACTTTTTACCCCAAAAAAATTAAAAACTCTTAAATTTGTATTTTTTAATATTAAAAATTAATAAAAATTCTCTCAACTTCATTGATCAAAATTTACAGATCATATATTTGGTGATTTGTAATACAGTGTTAAGAAATTGGTACCAACAAAAAGCTCTACTCCCAAAAATTTCAACACTAAGTTAATTTTTTGGAATCATCAAAGTCAATTGAAATCAATGGCTATTTACTGTGTCTTGTCCAACTCAAATTTGACTTTGATCCCCTATCTTTAACAAGCCAATCAAGTTTCCATAGTTCCTATCTCCCAATAGAGCTAACTTTATGACCATTTAAGGCTAATCTATTAACTTAATAATATTAAGATCATATGACCTAAAACATCTCATCATGCATATGCCTAATGTTAAATAGTGTCTTTGAACTTTTACCATTGATTAATTAATATGATAAATTTATAATTATTATCTTAAAATACTTAAATTTAAGTTAATGATTATACAATCATCAAATCATTATAAGGGGTAAAAAAAACTCTTGAACAATGCAGATGAGTCTCCAAATTTCATGGTTAGGTCATTTTGAGTGCACCAAAATTTGGAGATTACTACATTTGGTGCAGCTTGGATCAACCTGGGAGCTACTTGGGTCCATCAAACATATTATTTCTCCTTTGTGCACTCCCATGAGGCACAGAAAGGACAAAGCCACATTGATCACTCTGAGGTCGCTCACCTCAATGTGTCTGTGCCTCATTTAATGCTAATTAAATGTCTCATTTTTCTATGAGGTGTAGAGATGAGGAAAATTTATGGCTAATTGGCATTTGCCACGTGTCATGCCAAGAAAAGAAAAATCTTGCTTAGATTCACTCAACTAAATCTCCCCAAAGCTCGCACGAAGACTCGATAACCTTCCGCTGTTTTGCGCGCTTGTATGGCTGTGACTGCGGCAGTTCCTTTCTCTTGTACTCTCTCCTTTTGTCTCTTCTCTGGTGTGTGTGTGTGTGTGGTGTAGATCCATGTCGAATCGCCACTTGTGGATGCCAACAACGCACTCCAGTTGGGCCATCATCGCTCTAAGAGCCATAGATTCCATGAGTTCAATCCCTGTTTGTTAAAGCTGTTCTTGGTCTCCCTGCTGTAGAAGAAGGTACAGTTGTTGTTGCTTTCTTCTTCCGTTCTGAAGCTTTAGCATGGTTGTTGTGGTGTCGCAGAGATTTGAATGCTTCCTCACCAACCATGGGGTTTCCAAGGTAGACAAGAGAGGCTGGGTTTCTATTTTCTCTGAGATGGATAGCATTCATGAAGTGTTGTTATTGTTCCTCCTCAGATAGGAAGGGAAGCAGAGACATGACAGAGAGAAGCTGTGGAGCACCGAAGCAGAAGAAAGAAAGCAGGGCAGAGGAGAGGATGCCGACCGTCTGGTTTGCTCTCAAGAAGTCTCTCCACTGCAAGACCGAGCCATCAGATGTGCATGATCCAAAGGCCAGAGGGCATCTGGGCGCCATCTTGACGAGGAGGCCAGGGAGGTCTGGCTGCTCCCGATCCATTGCCAACCTCAAAGATGTCATCCATGGGAGCAAGAGACACCTCGAGAGGCCACCGAGCTGCAGCCCGAGGTCCATCGGGAGCAGTGAGTTCCTCAACCCGATCACCCATGAGGTGATCCTTAGCAACTCCAGGTGTGAGTTGAGGATCACCGGGTTTGGAGGCTGTCCTGATGGTGAGGCCTATGTGGGCACCCTCAGGCCGGGGACTCCCCTTCAAAGCAATCCTTCGCACAGGGGAGCCAACAACACACCTCCAAGGAAACCTCCCACCCTGTTGGGTGGCAGAGATGGCCATGGCATTGTGGGTTCATCTCTTTCTAGTTCTGTGCTTGGTAACGGAGGTGTTGCAGTCCACCATGCTGCTTCAACACCTAAATTTTCTCATGAAGCAGATTCACAAACAAAGAGACACTCTGCTGCTGTGACCTGCCACAAATGCGGGGAGCAATTCGGGAAGCAGGAAGCCTTGGAATCTCACCACCTATCCAAGCATGCAGGTATGGAACAAGGGTCTGAAACTCGAGCTATGTTCTTCCTTTGCTGATCTAGATAATGCAGTTCATGATGGTTTCTTGGTCTACTAATCTTTGCAGGTTGATGCATCAGTACCTGGTTTTGCTTTCCTATCATTGTCAGCTCAGTTCTTTCATGTAGTAGAATTTTCATTATCAGTTCATGTTAGAGAGTCAAATTAGTCATCATTTGCAAGGGAAAAAGCTATGCATAAAGTTGCTTTGGAATCAAATGTGCTTCCACTTTTACTCATTGCAGGTGAATTCTGCAAATGGTTCCTCTTTTCAGGGACCAGTTAGCCATTTCAGACCTTCAATAAGTTATCTTTCTTTCTCCTATTAAAGTAAACTGTCTTTGTGCGAAGAAATCAGAAACTAAGCATTCATTATCAACAAGTTTATATAGTCATCATAATAAGATCTGCTTTCGATGTGTTGATGTGCTTGCAGATTCTTCAATGACTGAACTAATGTGTTCTCGTCTTACTTATCTGCAGTGACTGAACTTGTGGAAGGAGATTCCTCGAGAAAGATAGTTGAAATCATCTGCAGAGCAAGCTGGTTGAAACCCGAGAGCAGCTGCATCCGAATCGAGCGGGTCCTAAAGGTGCATAACATGCAGAAAACTCTCTCCCGATTCGAGGAGTACAGAGAACTAGTGAAGAACAAAGCGAGCAAACTCGCGAAGAAGCACCCTCGGTGCCTGGCCGACGGCAATGAGCTGCTGAGGTTCCATGGCACGACGATGGCATGTTCACTTGGCACGAATGGCTCCTCTAGCCTTTGCTCGTCGGAGAAGTGCAACGTTTGCCGGATCATCAGGCATGGCTTCTCTGCAAAGAAAGAAGTGAAGGGAGGCATCGGGGTGTTTACGACCTCTACTAGTGGTAGAGCATTCGAAACTATCGAAACATACGACGACGACGACGGCGATCCTTCCATCAAGAAAGCATTGCTGGTCTGCAGAGTGATTGCAGGGAGAGTGCACAAGCCTTTGGACAACTACCAGGAGCTTGCAGGCCACTCTGGGTTCGATTCAATGGCCGGGAAGGTGGGTCTGTATGCCAACATCGAGGAGCTCTACTTGCTGAACCCGAGAGCTCTGCTGCCATGCTTTGTGGTGATTTGTAGAACCTGAATGAGTCTGTCCCTTGTGACGTTCTGTCAGGGATTTGAGTCTCATCCCTTCTTCTCCAAAGTTTCAACTGATGGCACGCAGAATCGAATTCTGTCGGAGAATTGGAAATGAGAACGAGGGACTAATTGCTGTTTTCCGGAGTACATGAATTGGTTGTCAATCTTCATGTCAAACTCTTTCAATGCAATGATCCTACCAAAACATTGAGTCAATGCATTGATCATATGACAGCATTTCTTGACTGCTAACATGTCTTCTGCACATAAAATATGTGATTGCAGAAACTTCTCCGCGACAGGCGCTCATGATGTGCTAATAAGTGCCTGACTATGTGTTCTTGGTCTGGAAGTCAAATGATCTCTAAACAAATATGACACAGTTGTCTGCATAAGCTTTTCTGAGAAGACACAGTTCTGAGGGTTGGCTTATGGTTTATGATTCCATCTACCTATCACTTGCTATAGTATTAGAATGAGAAGGGGTGGAATGGACTTGGCAGAGGTAGTCAGAAAGGGCTCCTTTGTCCTCCTTCCACCTTTTGTTTTTTCTTTCACTTCAATGGTCTGTTTCCCTATGAATAAAAAGCCTTAGCACTATGGTGAGATTGTTCAACAATTTAATTCTCATATATCAGAATCATGAAAGTAACCTCTTCTCTCTGCATGCCATTCTTTGTTGCCCATACATGTCACTGCCAGGATTTGACTTTGGCTGTGGCAGATTCATGGGGTTGGCAAGTCTGCTCTCCTGTCAGTCAAGGTGTACCTGAAGAGCTTCCCAGTTGGAAAAGAACAAGCCAAGGAATCATGGCACCTGCATGTGTTATGTGTCTGATAGAAGTGGCAAGAGTGCCTGATGAAAGCTTCATTTTCTTGTGTATGGGACACATGATCTGATGTAGTCAACACATGCTTCCTCTCATCTCCATGTTGGCAATGCATCATTGTTGACAGAGATGTCAAAAGATTTAGACAATGTGGTGGCAATGTAATGTTTACATTTATTAGGTCCAATCTTTTTCACAAGAATAGAACATAGCTTATATAAATATTATCCAAGGAGAAAGAAAAAAGACAGCTAACTAAAAGAAGAAATGAAGATTTTAAAGAGAAAAAGAAGGAACATATTTGTTCTACACTGATTGTAGAATCTTCTCTGCATCATGTGCTCATAATGTGCTAATAGTTATTGACTAGTCTTCTTGGTCTTCAAGTCAAATGATTCAATTGTTTGCATAAACTTTCTGCTAAAACTAAGTGAGAGTTGGCCTCTGGCTTATGATTCCATCTACCTTTCTCTTATTGTATAAGATTGATATGCTTATTTGTATCTGTCCTAAATTTGATTAATGAATATGTTAATGACTTAATTGGATTGGATATTTTAGAGTGCCAATCCAATCTGCTGCCATCCCTTTTTGCTGCTCTAATTATTGATAGATTTGGAGGCTAGATCAACAGCAGCTAAAGAAAAAAATCCTGTAGTGTTCTATGTTATCTTTTCCATTCTTACAGAAGATGTAGTGCTTGTCAATTTGTAGCAGTTGTGCTCTCAAAAGATGGGTCCTAAAACCTTCATGAAATTTTGGGAAGTTGATACATCAATATGAGTTGACAGCTTTCTTTAAAGTGTGATAGGGTTGGTGCTGTGGTTAGTAAATGAGCATCATACAAACACTAGCCATTTACATCTTGATCTTTACATATCATTGCATTTACTTTTGACCAGACTATTCTTAGGCCAATGCCCCAATAGTCCTATCTCTGAAAACACTACCAATGTAGAGAACTGTTAGTAGGGAAATGTCAGTCACTGTCTTCCACCCACCTCTACAAAAGCTTTACTCAGGTTGGGGTTAAATCATGGCCAGCCTAAGCTTGGTTTGGATACCATTTCAACCAAATAGATCAAGCTTTTGGATATCTACATCTACTCAAAATGAAGGCCCATTTAGGGTCCTCTCAATGAAATCACATGAGACACATAATGCCTGAATCTGATGATCTCATTCATGGAAGATGGTGCCAATCTGGGACCATAAGGTCTCACAAGATATTGGCTGCAGCATTAGGTACCAACTTGCATATGGTGATGATAGTACACTGTCCCCAGTCTCCTTCTCTCCTGTGCCTGCCACTGTTTCCTCATCCATCTCTGATGGTATTATACCAATCGGAAAATGGGGCTAATCTGGCCACACATAGTTCACATGTGGAAACCTTGGCACTCCAAGCTGCAAGAAAAGATGTTTCTTGAGGTGTCGTTTGTGTGCAGGAAGCAGTAGCTAAGGGACTTGCAGTGGGGGGAGAGAGAGAGAGAGAGAGAGAGAGAGAGAGAGGGAGGCAGCAAGGAAACAGTGTCATCTTGAGCACAAAGCTTTGGGCATGAACACCAGCTGCTGCTGCTGGTTTGTCTCTTTATCAAACACTCTATCCTCCCACCCCTCTTTTCCATCCTCTTCCTCTCCATTGACCAGCTAGAGTAGCTCTGCTTCTCTGTCTTCTTATTCAGCTCAACACATGGTGGTTTCATGTGCTCCTTTCTGCCTTCCACTTCTTTTCTCATCTTCATCATCACAGTCCTTTCTTGTCATACTTTTCCTTTAATCAGACTTTCTTGTCATGCTGGTTTGCTCACAAGCATCCCAAACCCTTCTTCTTGAAGCCTGTTGGTGATCCCGCTGTAAGCAGTGGCAATGACTTGTGATCTCGAAGTGGACGTCAATGGAGAAGAGATCTTCCTGGTTGACAAGGTAAGCCTTCTTCTTTCCCAGTTCATAACCACGGATGATTGATGTTCAAGCAGCACATTTTGTCCTGACCTTTTATTCAATCATTCAAGTATTTGTCGTGGCTTTTCGAACTGTTTTCACTGTTTCATCTAATCAAATTCCCTCCTCTTGTCTCTCTTCTATCACTGCCAAATTCACAAGCCAATCATCTTCTTCCTCCTCTCTCTCTCTCTCTCTCTCTCTCTCTTCATGGAGTCTTCATGCTGGTATTTAATGCTTTCATGCATTTGTATCTTAACTCATCTTCACCTCTATGTCATGAGGAAAAGGTTTTGTCTTTATTGTAGGAGAAGTAGTTTGCCTTTAAGAGGGAATGATTCTGGTCTCTTATGTCGTCTCTTCATTGTATCCATTTAATGCTTTCTGTTACACCTCACCTTCTGTGCCTCTTTAAACAATGGAACTATTGAAGGACTCTGCATCCTCCATTAGAGCTGCCTGTGCTCTATGAATTTAATGCTTGTGCATTTAATCTCAGAAGCTTCTGTTCTTACGGGGAATGATCCTGACATTGTTTCCTTCTTTGTTCCATGGCCACCTTCTTCCACAAGATCAGTATACATGGTTTAATTCACAGCATTGTTTTCGCAGGAAGTGCTTTCATCCTTCTCCGGCAAACTAAGGGAGTTGACCAGCAAAACGTTGGCCACTTCAGCTACAAGAAACCTCAGAGTGACCCTCCATGGCTTGCCCGGCGGGGCAGAGGCATTTGAGTTGATGACAAGGTTTTGCTACAACAATGGCAGAACTCAGATGAGCCCCAGCAACATCTGTCTTCTGCACTGCATCGCCCACTACATGGAGATGACCGGCGACCTGCTAAGTCTGACTAAGAAATCTCTCCAGGGAATCCCTTACTGGTCATGGCCTGAGATCATGAGCTGCCTGAAACGGTGCCAAGATCTCATTCCGGTCGCGTCTTCCTCAGGGATGTTGGATAAAGTGATCTGCTCTCTGGTTGGGAGAATCACGGCTGTGAGTGACGCCAGTCCTTCAGGCTCCTCCCCTGAAACCTCAGCCTTCCGGTTCTCCTGCGACACCGGAAGCACTACAAGCGCAAAGAACAGCAGCAACCACCGAGGAACTTGGTGGTTCGATGAACTCGCAGTACTGAATCCCGACATGATCGAGGAGATCATAAGGAAGATGGCTGTTGAGAAGGCGAATCATGTTGCCATCGGTAGGTTCCTCATGCATTACCTCAAGAATGTTGGCGTGCGCAGTGCCGCAGCTGACAAGAAGAAGGCTGCTGAAGTCATCATCGACCTGCTCTACTCCCTCGACGGCAGCTCTGTGTCCTCCAAGAGCTTGTTTGGTCTTCTCCGAGTCTCATCTCCACTGAAGCTTAGCAAATGCTGCCAAACCAAGTTGGAGAGCATGATAGGAAACCAGTTCGATCAAGCAACACTGGACAATCTGCTAATTCCAGCCCCGGCAGGGATGAACAGCCTCTACGATGTGAATCTAATCCTAAGGTTCCTGAGATCTTTCCACAGAAGCGGGGGTAGAGATTCCGCAAACCGATCGAAGCAAGCTGGAAGCTTAATGGATTCATACTTGGCTGAAGTAGCACCAGATTCCTCTTTGAAGCCTCTGAAGTTTTTGGCACTGATCACAGCTCTGCCAGATGAAGCAAGAGATTGCCACGATCCGATCTACCGAGCCATCGACTTGTACCTCGAGGTACAGGTCGTCAATTTGACTCCCAAGAATATGCAATGTTTCATGCTTCATTGCTTCATCTCTTTTTTCTGTTCATCGTGTAATCAGGTTCATACTCAGATATCAGACGAGGAAAAGATGAAGATATGTAGTGCCATAAACTACGAGAAGCTGTCATCAGAGTCCTGCAAACACATCGCGAGGAACACCAAGTTCCCATCGAGAACAGCAGTCCGAGCTCTCATCTCTCAGCAAACCAAGCTCAGGAGTCTGCTCAAAGGGACCGACCAGTTGAGGAAGCTGGGACATGATCCAGACCGTGATGATGATGATGAGCAGATCACTCTTTACGCGAAGAAGCTCGATTTGACCAGAGAGCATGAGAAGCTGAAATCCCAGTTGCAAGGAATGCAATGGAAGGTGATGGAGCTGGAAAAGATGTGCCGGAAGATGCAAAGGCAGATGTCAAAGGCCATGAAGACTAGAATAGCAGGTTCGAGTGGTTCAAGATCACTTCCCAGGCTTTGCTCATGAGTTCACACAGATTCATATCCACCCTACATTACTTTCTGTACATGCTGCCGCTGGGAGAGGGTTCCATTAGGATCTGAGATATCTGCTTTTGTTCTTTCCAGCTGGGAAGAAAAGCTGGTGGAGCAGTGCCTTTTACAGATGAAAATGAGAGGATGAATCTCCTTTGAGCTTTGAGATGTCTACTTGTACATTTCATCACTATTGTCCATATTACTTGCAGCTTTGATGGAGTCTCATTGAAAGATTTGTCTGACATCTGTGTAAATTTATTGAGAAATGCAGCAGAGAACAACTCCAAATTATACTTTATGGGAAGATGGAGGATTCATAGGATCATAACACCATCCAATTGCCATCAAATTAAAAGCACAACAAGATTAACTTGGCTTTGAGATCAATATAAAGACAGGTGATTGAAGTGCTATCATATAAATATACTTGCAATGAACATATTTTATGGATAAAGAGTTGCATTATTTTATCATCACCTAATCATAAAAGAAAACAATCTTACAATGAATCATATCTATATAATTGAATGCCATCATTGCTTAATTCATTGTTAATTTAATGGTGTACGGGACACTTCTGTATAGTATTTGATGTATAATATAAGGCATCTGTTCATGCTTAGGGGGAAATGATCTAAATAAGAAACTCAAGAGTTGGGAACTGATGATTATAATAAGAGGAACAACATGGATGAGTTGTGGTCTTAGCTTGGGAATCTACATGAGCAATAAAAATAGAGGAGAGCATTTTGTTTTGATCGAAAACATCTTCCAATGCTTATGGTAGTCTATTCAAATAACAAAAGAATCTGGAGCTGTTCTTCTCCTTTTGATTTGTTTTAGTGCTTAGAATCACCTAATGAAGAAATAGGAAGGTTGTAACATGTGGTTTTGATGAAGTCAAGTTCATCATTAAATGTTTTCATGAAAGACATGTGAAAGAAGCAGCTTTGATTATGTTGAAGTGCATTAATCTAAGAATGCAGCATGCATGACACTCATTTCATTTCTTCTCTTCTTTGTTCAAACTTATTTGCAGAACTGCTATTAAATCAAGCTACAATATTGCAAGCAAATCTATGGCAACCTCTCTCTCTCTCTCTCTCTGTTTTGGGAGAAATGAGAGTGCAATACACTTTTGCTTTGATAAGATGGCTACTCTTCTTCTGCAGTAGTGAGTCATATCATATGTTACGACTCTGAGTCTTGTGTTATTAAATTCGACATAGTAAACGACATTAATTGTGAAGCCATTAATGACCCAAAGCAGATCTCACTTCACACAGCTCTAGAGAGAGAGAGAGAGAGGACATGGATGTGTTACAACAAGACAAGAAGACAGGCAGCATGTTCATTCTGCCTGTGGAGAAGGTTTGTGTAATAAGTAGCACTCCACCGATGAGCAGAAAACAATTAATGTTTCATGCACTCAATGCAACAATCTCTTAAATGATCATGACAAGGAAGAAGGATTTCAGAGAGAGCACATGCCATTGTGTGGTCCTCTTCTTCTTCTTCTTCTTTCTTCACTCCAACTTCACTTCCACTACTCTACCACACTTCAGTTGTAAATTGAATCAAGCACACAAGTTCTTTGTTCTTGGATCCTTTGTCAGTCTCAGTTACATTCAAAGTTGGCACCCCATTCAAGCTTTGTAAGAAACAGTAAATTTATATATGAAGATATTTATGTGTGAAGAGAAATTTAAAAAATAAAAAAATAATTTTAAATTAATAAATATCAAATGAGTCAGATGATATATATATTTGAGTCTAACCCATAATCTAATGGCTGAAATTTTTGAGTTAGATTGATATTTGACTCAATATACATTAATCTTGACTAGTTTGATCCATTCATCATTAATGAATTTATAATAACTTAGGATGATTTGAAAGAGAATTAGCATAATTAATTTTATAAATATCTTCTAATAAAATATAACATTTTAATATCAAAATTATGCCCATCATATCATCTATTTAGTTTTATTAAAAAGTAAATTACAATAACTTAAAAGAATCAAAGCAAAATGCTAATTAGATAAAACAAAGTCAGACTATATCACAAATGGATATTTTATTATCTTAATTCTCTTTCGTCTGAATAGGTCTTGATTCTCTTAATGCAACATTTCTTGACTTTGTTTTCTCATTTCACTATTTAGAAAATAAGTAGAAAATACCATAGCACACTTTCTCCTCAAAAGTAAAGTTCAAGTTGGAAGAATGGACAAAAAGTAGGCAAAATCTTTCTCTATTAAATTCATTATAAGCAAGCTTTTTTAAAGAGACATTGAGCTTACAAAAGAAGGATTTTAGGTTCAAGTTTCATACAACAAATGTAGCAGACAACTCCCTCCACTAGCAAAAGGGCATGAAGCAATTGTACTAGATTGCAAGAAGAAGACAATCAAGCTGGAACACCATTCCCATCCATCACTCACTCATGATCTAAGCTTCAGAAACTTAAAGGTGGAGGAACCATCACTGTACATTCCATTTCCACTATATTTGATTCTTAGACCCACAACATGGTGAGACACTTCTGATATGGATTCTCTTTTTCATTTGTGTTGGGCTCAGTGTTTAGTTTGACTCAACTTCTAAAAGTAATGGGAGTTGGTAGCTTTGAAGTGAGATCTGTCTCATTCTCTTATGCTATCACCTTTATGATGTGCTGCTCCTTTCAGCAAAAACTCATTGACAGATAGATTAAGGGGAGAAACAGAAGTATGAATCTGTAGCTCATTTTGATAAGATATAAATTCTAAGTATATATGTGAATAAATACTTAATCGATAAGAGTAAGTTTACTGCATCAGATCACTGAGGGATTCTGAACCAGCATGCAAGTTTGAAGAACAAGGAAGCTTAAACTCATGCTAAGTAGAATCAGCATCCTCTTAAGAGCACAACATGCAGGACAAACTGATTTCTCACAGCATATTCACTTGATTAACCAGCAACATAGTCTTTTGTTTGTGCCATTAACTTTAATCTCCCAAGATAATTTTTGTTGAGGCATTAATTCTACCCTTTGACCTTGAAATGGCTGCTTTCAGAAAACCAAGAATATAGATGGCGGAGGAGTGTAAGTGAGGAACCCTAATTTTGAAGAACAGGTACTCAGCTATATAGGAAGAAATATAGTTTAGAGAGGGATGGAGTTGTGTGATTCCAAAGCTTCAATTGAGAGCATGCTGTACATGTACTTAAAGAAGAAGAACTATTTTACTATGGCTTATTAATATAGTGTAGTCAATGGATAGAAAACTCAGCAGCTCATGCTGTGCTGTGAAAACAGGAGGAATCAAAACTCTTGTCACATAAACCAACCACAGTAAAACACATGAGTTATGGGCAAAGCTGCCTCGACATTCTAACACACATAGATTACGTACGTGCTCAACACAACATTGTCCTCGTGCTTCTCACCATAGTACTCACATGAGCTCTTCTTCTTCCTGTGTTAGACATGATCTTTCTTCTCGGTGTCAATGCAAGACAGGTTGGTGCAATTTTCTCCACCTCCGTTCACTGTGCTCAAGACAGTGGAGATGATTAATGGGGGAGAGGTCGTTTTACAAGAATGATAGAGGATGAAATATGAAATGTTATGACTTCATGATAATATTGACTCCGGTAAAATATGAATGTATAAATTTATAGTAATATACTCATCGAGTCTTTACTGACGAAGAATTAAACCTTAGCATGATTTATGGCGAAGACTCGAAATCGGGTTGAAGATGGTCTGACCATAGTGACATGCGATAAAAATAAACATTGGTATCCTATTTAATCCTAATATAATGTAATCCTCAACAAGCCAATCAGGCTCAAATGATATATTAATGGATTCACAATCTAATTAGCAGATAAAAGCATATTCTTTTCCCTTTGTGAGTTTGTGGATGAGAATACTCACATGTAATGAATTCTAAATACATCTTATTCAAACAAACATATCAACATTTTGATGATTGATTTCATACCAAACGAATCATTTGGATAGATTGTGATGCTAACACTTGAATTATTATGTCCATCCTTGGCTCAATCGGATTCGAGTAGCTCAGCAAACAAATCTTGCAAGTGATTCATGCAATAGATGAGTCAAGTTTACATGTAAAGGAGGATGAGATCGAAGTCCAAGTTTTGTTATGGTTGATGGGCCAATTCACTCATTTCACAAGCTCTGACTTGGTCAGCTTTGGCATAATTTTCATGTTTGATCCAAATCCATGATCAACATGATAATGTTCGAGATTAGATGAATGTATTAAGCTAGATCTAAACTTGTTGATCAAAAGAAGTATTAGCTACCTCTCTAAACTTTGTTGATGAGAACAGTGACATCATGATTTAGTCCAATCCAATTGTTGTGTGCCTTTCGAGCAACATCACGAAACTCTATTATTATTTACGACTTAGTCCGCTAGAAGTGACAGCCCATCAAACAAGTCATCATTTGCAAACAGCTAGTAGTCATAAGGCTGGAGATTAGTCAAACATGACTGAGGTGTCACACACCACCGCCACCATAATTCATCTTCTCTCATACACAGGCTCTCATGCATTTGCATTGATCAAGAATTATGGAGATCAGAGAAGGAAACACAGCTAAGGTGGTTCTAATTATTGTCTATGCTGCTGGAATCCTTCCCCACCTGCTAAGGAACTCTGTGATGCAAACACAAGAACACACCACCTCTTCAGTAAGATTTATGTAGTAAGACTACAGTGCATGTCAAACAGTGACAGGCGAGAAGCAGATTCGGAGAGATACAGTGGCAGATTGATATGCGTCGTAACGACAAAAAGGAAGCGCTGGCTGTGACAGTCAGGAAGAGTCCACCAAGATCCAATCTTCGCGAGGCTCCTCATCCTTTCCGAAGATTGCCACCGCCGCTGGCTGGCAGTCGGGCGGGTCCTCGAAGGCCGACACGGAGAGATGCTTCTGCGCCAGACCGATGTCGAAGAGGATGACGCCGGAGGAGGGATCGGCGATGAGGATGCCCTTCACGGGGAACCATAGGAAGAGCTCCTCATGCGACCACCCGACCACCCCGCTGAGCGCGCCGTAGCTGAGGTTGCCCCTCACCACGCGGTCGAAGTAGGCGAGGCCGTCGTCGTAGCGGGCGTAGCACGTGCGGTGGAATCGGACCTCGAGGAGGCCGGAGGAGGGGTCCAGGTCGAAGGACTCGATGGCCCTGGGGATGATGCCGGCGGGAAGTCCGTAGCTGCGTAGGAGGTCGCGGAAGGATCGGCCGCTGCCGACGATGACTCCGCCGCCGCTGGAGGCGGCAGGGAGGGCGTAGACGAGGGTCAAGAGAGCTAGAAAAGGCAACACCTTAGCCATTGCAGAGACGGGAGACGGGGTGGGTTGGGGCTTAAGAAGGGGTTTGAAAACAGCGTATGTGAGAGGAAGAGAAGCATATCAATTGAGGGGATGAAGTTTGACTTTTTTGACCGAGTCTGATGATTTCAATTTTATGTTATTCCATTTATAACAGTGGTGTAAGTTTCTTCAATTAACGATAATAATGGTAATAATAACAATAATTGGAAAGCTTTTATTTGTTTTATCCTTATTTCATTTCTAATATTATTTCCAAGAAAAATACAATTTTACTAATTAAAAGTTAATTTAATTAAATATAAATGTGTTAGAATTCTATTGGTATAAATGTGTTTAAAATACAAGTTTAGTTTCCTGAAATAAATATTACCCAATATATATATATATATATATATATATATATATATATATATATATATATATATATATATTACTTGTATATCATTGAAAAACAAAGACTTATACATTTTTTTTTGTTTTTGTAATTTTAAAAAATAAATTACTAATATTTGATATTTATTTATACTTAAAATATTATTTTTAAAATAAGAAGTTGGATTATACATTTTATAATTTGAAAATAATTTTAAATTTCATGTTATCTTTTTTTTGGGTTATTAATTTGATTCGATTTAATTTGTTGTTTTGGTTCTTAATGCATTGAACCATACTAGAATGTGAAAAGAGGAGAGGAAAATAAAGGTGTCATAATGTTCAAATATTGAAAGAAAAATAATACTAATGGGAAAAATAAAGGTGTGCTAATGTTAAAATATTGAAAGAAAGAAAAAAAGTGTTGGGAAGTCTAATCGATAAGTTTGCTTCTTCTTCTTCTCCCTCCTCCTCGTCGACAAACCCAATCATGGAGCTTCAGAGAGACACAGACTTCGGCACAAAAGGACACTGCACACTGTTCTTAGTCTGCTTTCACATGACTGGGTGCTGTTCGAGTGAACTGCTACTCCCCCATAAAATTCCAAGCTCAAATGTGGGATGGATTTGCACGAGGATGTCTTGTAAGATTGAAGGTACTATTTGGGCTGCTAGTTTCTGTACCAGATCAGAGGGATTGAGGGAGACAGTGAAGAAGCTTCCCTTTCCACCAACTTGGCATTGGATGGAGAAGCTGTGAAAGGAGGAGTTTGATGAAAGAAAGCAGGGGAGGGGAGGCGTGGAAGAGTCGAGACTGGGAATCTAATGAAGCTTTCAAGCTTTTTGACATGCAAACATAGAAGGAGACAGCTGAGAGAAGTTTGTGTCTTCTCCCTTTTGTCTCACCAGCCGAGGGGGAATCCATGGAGCTGTGTGGAGTACTGGTTTTGCCTGTACATGTTTAAAATATTTTATGTATCTCAAACCTTTTGTGGAGGAGTAAAATGAGAGGAAATATATTGAGCCATGATGACCATTTTATTTTATTTTTAGATGTAGGCATAAAATATTGAACCACATTAATTTTACATTATTATTTTTATATAATTTTTTATTATTCATCTCTGATTTTTTTTTTTAATTTTAATATATTTACTCCCTCCAACATTTTTCGGCATACGAGTATCATTCATATACATATTTCGAATATACATATTTCAAATCGAACTTATGAAACTTGAATGAATAGAATACATATATATATACATATTTAAATGTGTGATCTTAGATAAATTTTAAATATTCATCTTTAATATCATTCTAATTTTTTTCTCAATATTCAAAGTTTTAATTTATATTATTGAGGTTATACTATACAACCCTAACTAATTAAAGTTTATACTACAAAAACACCTACTGGTTAGATAATAGCAACTTCCACAAGAGCTAATGCCATCATCACCTTCCTCCATTGAGTTTTCTAGAATAAATCCTTTGGGTATCTATGTTTTCATAGTTTAGCAAGTATCTTTTGTATATTACATACTATTCATCCTTACCCACAACATGGAATTTCCTGAGGACCCAAAGCATTTCATTTATGTTCTCAAAAGCAATTATTTACTATGGAGAATAGGAATTTGGCCCTACTAAACACTTTAAACCCACCATGTGAAATAAAATATTTGGTTCTGAGCTCCATGCACTAAAGTTGAAGATCTCCATGTCTGAGGGCAAGGACCAAACCTTCTTTTTGGTTTCAAGCTTCCTCAATGATTGGGACCTCAATGTCTAGCATTATTGGATGCATATAGGACATGCATGCATAATATGATATCTAGCTAGTGGTGTATATATGACATTGCCCTAAGATTACCATTATTAATTTACCCTCTAATAAGTCTAATAATTGAATGCACTTAGCTCCTCATGCATCACTTTTCTTGGACCGCCAACAGTATTTATTCCATGTGTCTGGGGATGAGAACACATTGGATTTGCTTGAGCACCAAACAATGGAACTCACACCACATGAAATGATCAGCTACTTGCATGCATTCATGTCTGTATAAATATCATTTGTTTGAGCCTAGCAATGCCATAAACTGCATGTCAAACCAGTAAGTACATAAATTTCATGTCACTGCAGGTTTATGAAGGTTTCTCCATACACAGACAGACTTAGAGAGAGAGAGAGAGAGAGAGAGAGAGAGAGGTTATCTTGCTGTGAACATACCAATCTGAGACACACTTATCATACCAATCTGAGACAGTAATACTGTTGAGTAAGAAATAGCTCACATTCTTCCTGACTACAACACTATCATATCTATTACAGATATCAAACTACTTAGAGAAGAACATCATTTCATCTACCTTCTTCTATTTTTGTTATTCTGATAACATTGATGGAAGTCCAATCTTTTTGGAAAGCACTTGCTGTGTAGAAAGCAGGGCGGCTGGGTTGAGGCAGCATCACATCCTCACTGCTTAGCATCAAAAACACATCCTCCATTGTTGGCCTGTCATCACTTCCTTCTTGTACACACAAAAGTCCCACTTGGATGAATCGTGTCACTTTAGAAGTGGAATAGGAATCTTCCAAGGCGTCATCAACCAGCTCCAAGCATCTGCCTTCCTTCCATAGCCTCCATGCCTGCAAATTGTTTGATGTCAGAAGTCACTCTCGTAATGGAACTGAGGAGGTTCATCTCTTACATGTTGCAGAAGATTTTTACAAGGCTCCGATGGACTGATAGTTCTAATCCTCTTTCCACTTAAGATTTCCAACACCATGACACCAAAGCTGAAAACATCAGACTTTTCCGAGAATATACCTTCCATCGCGTACTCTGGTGACATGTATCCACTGCATGTCATGTTGAAATTGTAGCTTATTTGCCTGAAATGAAGAAGTATTTATGTATCCATTTGACTGGGGAAGACTTACTATGTCCCGACTACTCTGGTAGTGTTTTCTTCGATTTGATCCACGTTGAAGATTCTTGCCGTGCCAAAGTCTGAGATTTTGGGGTTCATCTCATTGTCAAGCAGAATATTACTTGTCTTTAGATCTCTGTGTATAATTTTCAACCTTGAATCATGGTGAAGATAAACAAGTCCCCGAGCAATTCCTGTAATAATTTCAAGGCGCTTTTGCCAATCCAACAGTCCTCCCCTAGTTTTGTCTGCTCAAATAATTCATCCTTTGTCAGTTTGACAGGTTATATAGTTGCTAGCATCATGTCATGTTGCTTTTCGACAAAGATCAGTACATATAATGTAATCTTTTAGATGAACGATAATGTCTAGCAAAATCCTAGACCAAAGAAGGGAACATGATATTTTCTTTAGTAATAGACAAATGACATCTGAATAAAACCTGATATCCAGAATATGTAGAGCTGAAAACTCAAACAGATGAGACAAAGTTTAACACTTGCACAGCTGTGCAGTCATGGATTGAGATGAGCATTAACCTTGCTTGTTTCATCAACAAAATTATTAATAATCATTAATATTAAGTCTTAGATGTATACTCAAAATGAGAACTTTACTTATCTTTGTATCGGTCACTGATTCCATTAATACTATAGTAAACTCTGCAGTAAGCTTGAAACATAAGCCCAAAGCAAAAAGGTATTAAGGCCATACCGAAAATGAAAGCATCCAAGCTCTTGTTATTCAAGTACTCATAGACCAGGATCCGTTCATCCTCCTCGGTGCAACAGCCAATCAGACGAACAAGATTTTTGTGTTGAAGTTTGGCAATTAGCATAACCTCTGTTTTGAACTCATGCAGGCCCTGCACAGAATCTTTTGACAACCTTTTGACAGCAATTTCCACTCCATCTTCCAACTGGCCCTGAGAGTTTCAATGATTCATGTTGATTTAAGACTGCCCTGGTAAAAGGAATATAATTGCTTTTTTGTATAATGACTACATGTATGTTGAATCAGATATTATCTAGTAGCTGATCAAATTACCTTGTAAACAGGGCCAAATCCGCCTTCTCCGATTATGTTTTCATTGGAAAAGTCATTTGTGGCTGTTCTAATGGTAAGAATGTCGAACAGCGGTAACTCCAGCTCATCTTCTTCATCTCTTTTGGATTGGAAGCTCTTTCTTTTGCCTGATGCATGATAAAGATTTAAGAAAATGATCACACATTCCATTTCATTCCAAAATGGCTTGAACTTGAAAAGCTATTCACAGAGACAGAAAAAAACAATCCAGGACTCGGTGACTGATACAATACTGCCTCAAGTTCTTCATTTTGTGGACATATATCTAGGCACACTATATTACCAGAATATACAGACATACCTTGTGTTCTTCTTCTGCACTTCAACCACAAAACTAGACACAGACAGACTAACAGAAGAATGCCAATTGGTAAGGTAATGGACACAATCTTCATGGTCTTCTTTTTGCCTGAGTCACCATTTAGAAATTCTACAAAGGAAGAGTAGGTGTCATGGTTAAAATCTTCTTTGATCAGATAGTGTTCCTGCAATACAAAAAGTATCTACCCGCACATTCTGCTGAAGAATCAAAACTTCATGAATAATGTTTAATGATAATGAGTTCTTGTGGCTTAAAGATTAAAATCCAGTGTGTTATGTTCATGGAATGATTGCCCTGTCATTCTCCAAGCACTCAATTACCAGGTGGTGGATTCTTCTCATGTTAGTAATAGAATCATAAGAAAGAATGTTACCCAATTCAGAAGCTGCAAGCCGAACGTGCAGCACATCTTCCCCATCAGCAAATATTCTAACGTCGATGAGATCTCCAAACCATGTCACACACTTGCTTTGTTCGAACACAGCATACGCAGTGCAAGAACAGTTGTTCCGGCACCAGTCGCTGCACTCATCAAGCGTCCGATTCGTAGCGCTGGCGTTGAGCGTATCGGGCAGCTTCACATTCTGCACTTGACGAAACCCATCCGTCGAACAGTTTAAGGGCGTTCCCCTCACGCAGCCATCAGAGTACTGCCTCAGGCTCCATTCCGCGGGCGACTTGGGAACGAACCCCTCCAAACAATTGCAACTAGAAGAGTAGAGCATGGTGCAGATGCCGTTGATTCCGCATGAGGCGTACTGGTCGCATTGGCCGTCGGGGACCTCCCAGAAGAGGCTCCAGTCGCTGCTCCCCTCCGTCCACATGAAGCGCTGAAACTTCCCGTTGTGATCCAAAGTGGCTCGCCCAAGAACGGTAGCATTGAGGACTTGGAAGGCGTAGTACAGCCCAGACTGGTTGTCAGTGTACTGGAAGTTGAACAAGCCGTTCGGCGACATGTTCGGCCGGCCGCTGAATCCCTTCCCTGTCCACGGCCCGCTGCGGTACATCTCCGTACTCCCCTTCCACAAGACGAGCTGTGCGACTCCTCGAGTCTCCATCTTGTAAGTGTACTCCCCCGGAGAAGGATCGGAGTCACTCTTCCACGACGTTAGGTACATGTCGAGGTTTCTGCTGTAGTCGAATCCTATGTTCATGCCGGCCAGGATCGTGTCAGTGGGATGATCGAAGCTCTGCCATAGTGTGTTGTTGGAGGCTCCTCCGGTCAACACGAGATTGCCGGAGTCCAAGAGCTGCAGAACAGGACCGATGGCGTTCGACGTGTTGGTAGACCACAGAACGACACCAGTGCCGCTGAGTAGTGATAGATTTCCATCATCCGTCAGATTGAGGGCGCCATGGTCGTCTTCCAGAGGGGCGTCCCTGTTGGCGATCCAGACCACGGTCTTCTCTTCGATGTTCTTGAACCGTATCCCCAGGAAGCGCTTATTTGCGTCACCAGGAGCGAAGAAGCTGAGCTCGAAGATTCCTCCGGCCGAGACTAAGCTGCGGCCATCCACAATGGGACTGCTGCCGGGAGTCACTCTATCCCCTGCACGTAGAAACTCGCATCAGTTGCATGCATTAACTACTCCCACTTCTCGGAGGATTCAGATTAATGCAGCAGGAGAAAACAAAATTGAAAGTGATAACAAAAGATTATTATTATTATTTTTTGGCATATGTAACTCTCTCAGATAACAATTGGATTTCAAGTCTCCTATCAATCAAATCAATAGAATCTAAGATCTGTGATCTCAGTATCTAAGGTTCCATATGATTAGATTATATTCCAGATTAGATGGAATTACTTTCACTTATAGTTCTAAGCTAGAGTAATTAAGACTACTACAGTTGACTTATTCTTCAGTTCAAACACTGCAGGATCAGATGAAATGATAATTAAGATAGTATGGCAAACAAATAGGAAGTCAGCAGCTTCTCCTTGTCATCACTTTGGCAGAGAGAACCCTCTTGGCCGAAGCAAAGAAAGAAAGAGAAGGGAAGAGGGGAAAGGTGGGGAAGAAGAGGAAGAGAACCAACTTGGAAGCACAAGCAACAAAATCTGTGCACTGAAAGAAGGGGAAGGAAGTCAAGATCTCAGAGCCCCCCCAACACAAGAAGGAGAAGAAGAAGAGAAGGTGTGTGTACCTGTTTGACCATGAACAGGAACTGCTCCTTGCAGGAGAAAGAACACAAGGAAAGGCATCAGAATGATCTCCATCGCCTTCACTCTTTGCCACCCAGTAGTAAAAGCTGGATGGGGTTCTTATAGCAGCAGCCTGTTGCTTGCAGTCAAGAGTCATCTTGACATCTCCTGTATAAATTAGTCATCCCCTCTCAGTGGGTCATCTTTTTCATGAAAGACTAATAATTTGCATGAAAATTTTCAGACATTCTATAAGTTTCTCATGGTTGACTTTATATCGAATGGAACCCACATATTATTTTTTATTTAGGCGAAAATAATACCCTTATATTTTTTTTTACTTAAGTGACATACATAATCATATTATTCAAAAAAATCTCTAATTTTGATAATTAATTATCATAATTTTTTAAAAATAAAAAATAATACTAATCATCGTTTAGTATCATTTTTATTAATTATGCTAGTAAGATATCGTTAGAAAGATGTACGAGTCTAATTTCTAATAAAATAAAATTATTTATAAATTTTTTTTCTTTTTCATGGAATTTTTGACAGTAAGTAATTCACAATCACCTCTCTTCATCAATCAAAATGTAGAGGAATCACTGTTGGTGGTGATCAACAAACACCATTTGGGACCCATACATATTATCTCCAGCATTAAAGTCAAAGTGACAGCCAAAAGCAGTGTGACAAACATTATATTTATCACCAGTGGTGGACACAACCTAACACGAATCGAGTGGTTGGCATGATCAAGATTTGAGCCAAAGCAGAAGAATCTAATTCCAAATCATACTTTAAAAGATAAATATACACACAAATTATTCTCTGTGAAACTTGCATGGATAGTCTCATGCTGGTTATGGCCAGACTAGTTCAACATGAGGAGCACTTTCAAAGAAGATTCTTCTGCACCTCAGAAAGTAGGAGTAAACGCAAGTAAACTACAAAGAAGCTTCAGAACACGGCATGGCAATCTCGCCTTTCTCAGATGCCTGCATGTCTGCCCGGTCTTTTTATATTTGATCTTATATAGCTGCAAGTTGAAAGACCAGACTTCCTTGACGCAGAAGAAAGTGTCATTTTGTGTCCAAGTCTTGTTATGGTGGAGTACTTAATCCATGGCTTTTCTTGTACTGTAGCAGCGAGATATCTCTGTCAACAACAAGATGAGAGCTCTAATGTGGGAAGGCCGTGGACTTCGACTCCTCAAGCAGGTCAATTGTTTCAACAGTCTGGAGTGACATAAACGAAATGTTCAACGTTTCAACTGCTACTGTGGATTGTCCGACAGGACGGGCTCGGCTTTGCACCTTCCGGCAAATGCAGAAGCTCTCCTCCGTTTCTGGTGGACGAGGAGGTCTTTGATTACTGCCCCGTAGACATTGGCCTTCGCAGAGTCACGCCTCGTGTTTCCTGGAGTTTGACTCCGGAGACAGTCGTGACGAGGAATACTCTACAGTCTACAGCAATATAAAGAATGACTCGTTGAAGGTTCTTCGGTTCGATCGTAATCCGAGTAAAAAAGTAAATTATTCATGAAGAAATTTTAGTGAGAGAGAAAGTTTTGAAAATTAATATTTAATTTGTTTATAAAATATTTTATTTTTTTTAGGTTCGGTGAGAAGTAGGATGTGAGAAATATTTTGGATGTTCGTTATGATTTTTCTGTAGATACAAGAAGAGGGTTGAGAGAAGAGTTCTTTCGATCTTTTATCGTCTCTTTTTATTTTTATTTCTATGGATGGCTGCTCTTCATCATGTTTTGCCCGTCGTCTAATATCATGTTGGAAAAATCAAATATAACAAAAATCAAGAATTTATAGAAGAGAGATGATAAATAAACGAAGTTCATGTAAATTTATTATAAATAGATGAACTTAAGACTTTGACTCCAATTATGATAGGGAATCATCTAAAACTTCTAAACAAAAGTCTTATTTAATTATAAAGTTTGATTTAATATTCAAACATCTTCCCCTAGATTAAATTTAAAAAAAATATTATAAAAAACCTTGAATCTTGATATGATATCCTTTGAATCTTGAGTCATCTATATATAGTGTCTTGATCAATTATAAATCTATGATTTATTTAAAATTAATCTTGTTAGATTTCTTGAACTAATCTCTAGATATGAAATAATCATTCCTAAAGAAATATAACCTTTTTTTTATCATAGAATGAATATTCATCAATCATTATAGCTTCATCTTGAGTAATGATAATTTTTATATTAGCATTAGCAATATTTTCTTCACAACCTTTTGGATGTGTAAATTTTTCTTTTCATAGAGAGGTACAAATATTTTTTGTTTCTAATGAAAATAAAATTTATCTACTCCAAGAAAATCTATTAAAACATAACATTTTTTTTTCTGTTCTTTAATTTTCATGCTCTTTAATTTTCTTTTCTGTTAAAATATAACATTTTTTTTGTGTTCTTCAAAGAGAATTCAAAAATCTCTATCATATATCATATGTTTAATACGATAATTCCTTTTAAGCCTTCATTCATAATTTTTTTATTTCTACTAATATTTTCTATCAAATCTAGATAATAACAAGATCCAAAGTAACTCATAAAAGTCATCATTCATACCTTCAATCTTTTTTATTATGATGATGATGAAACTTTTAAATTTATCGATCTTTTTTTTTTTTTATTAACTAGTGATGGTATTTTCTCCTATTGAACATCTTTCTTCTATCTACTATAATCTAATCTATCAATTGGTTTCTTGATTTTGATATCTCATCTTATTTGATGGTTGTTTCTATATCTTGTTGTCGTTGTTGTGGGTAATTCTTCTCTTTCTAGGATTTTCACTTCTTGAAATTTCTCTCTTTAGGTTTTCTCTTTGTTTCTTTCTTTAACATTATTATTTTTCTCTCAAATAGTCATATCTCTCTCTCTCTCTCTCTCTCTCTCTCTCTCTCTCTCTCTCTCTCTCTCTCTTTCTCTCACTCTCATTAGCAACGGATGCATGCCACCCCCGTCATTAGCAAAAGGTGAATCGAAGCTAGAAACCATTATTGCAGCTTGAGTTGGGTGTATGATGCTTCATATGAATGTAATACGATTAGATCAAGTAGAAGGCACTCTTGTTGGAACCTCGTTGAGCGGCGCACGGCATAGTGCCGGTCGGCAGTCGAACCATCCATTGTTTACCGCGGCTCGATCCGTAAGACTGGACCGGGATTGAACTAAACCCAAGCGCTCGGCCCGTGGCGAGATAGAGATAGCGGCATTGTCTCGGACCAAGCCCGGCCCGGCTTTTGCTGGCTAGGAATGGTTCGGCCTATATGAAATTGCGCGTGAGCCGGTCCAACTGCTATCGGGCTTAACTCCTCTCTCTCTCTCTCTGTGTGGATGACTTCTGCGAACTCGATCATCGGAAGCATCTCGTTGGACCAAACGGAGCGAGATACAAACTTGCATTCGATTGGATCGGCTTTATATAACACAACAGAGATATCACATCCACAATAAATATACTCTCATATTATAATTGATTAATATGTTAATATTTATGGAGCTAGTATCGAGAATAAAAGATTATTAGATTATGTGATATTATATAATTAGATAAGATATATTATAGACTTGATCAATTCGTCATGACGGAGACACAAGTCAAATGTGCTCGAGACACGTAAATTAGGAAATCCCAACTCGCTTGAAGAGAAATATGTTATTATGAAGATGCAAAACTAAATGTGTCGAAGACGAGTAAGTTAGAAAAATATGACTCATGTGAAAAGAAATCTGTCATGATAGAAGCGCAAGGCGACTCGAGGTACATAAATAAAAAAACCTAATTCACGTAAAGAGATACTTATTCTGACAGAGACAGGAGGTTAAACATGCTTGAAACTTATAAGTCGGGAAAACTCGTCTTGCATGAAGAGAAATCCGTCACGATAGAAGCATAAGGCAAAATGTGCGTTAGGTGTGTAAGTTTATTAGATTTTGACTAATAGAACAAAAAAGTCTAATAGAATTCTCTAGAAGATGGACCTTGATAAGTCAAAATTTTCTAATTTACTTATATAGATCCTTTACATATATATATATA